GCAAAGAAACGGCCTCACATGGCGAAGAAAACAGTTTTGTTTCACCAAGACAATGCACCGTGTCACAAGTCGATGAAAACGATGGCAAAATTGAACGAATTGAGCTACAAATTGCTGCCACACCCACCGTATTCTCCAGATCTGGCCCTCAGCGACTACTGGCTCTTCGCAGACCTCAAAAAGATGCTCCGTGGTGAGAGATTTGGCTCAAATGATGAAGTAATCGCCGAAACTAACGCCTATTTTGAAGGCAAAGAAAAATCGTTTTACAAAGGCGATATCGAAAGATTGCAAAAGCGTTGGAATGATTGTATCTCCCTAAAAGGGGACTATGTTGATGAATAAAAACGAATTTTGGCAAAAAAATGTGTTTTAATTAGTTAGTCACACACATTATTGAACAAAGTGTTACTTAAACTTCTGCAGTAATGTTCTTCTCTCCATTTTTGTCTACCTCTGGCTGTCTTTTTACAATCAAATCTTTTGCCTTTTTCTGTGCATCCTCCATACCATCCATTATTTGTGTAGGAACATCATCGAGATTCATCTATTTAGTAATTTACCACCCAACTCTAGCTACCCCGCAGCATTCCACAAATATTTCACGCCTTCTTCTGGTGTACTAAATGAAGACTTTTTAACCAGGATAACCCCAACTTGCTCCAGCTCCCCTGATGTTAGTTTCGCAATTCCCAGGCTTCTCACTGTCTAAAGTTGGAGTGTTGATATAACTTTAAGCTCAGATCACACTTCCATCATGATATTGATACCATGTATCAAGGTCGTAAACGAGGCTGACAAGAAAACCCACGGAAATTTCAAATCAGCGAACTGGGTGCTTTTTAAGGATGTCTCAATATTTCTCAGTTCTCTGATTTGAACAAGGCAGAGAAAGAACTTTGCAGTATTATTATCAAAGCTGTTGCCACAGCTATTCCTGCAGGTATAATAAAGGTAATACGGCCACATTTTCATACTGACGCTATACCCCTTGGTAAAGAACGCGATATCCTTCGTAAACTTGACCCAGTCAATCCACGCATAACAACTTTGAACAATAACATCCGTAAAATGATGGTTTAATCTCGCCTTAATAAATGGACGGAATGGATTTGTGGACTACTATTAATATTATAGTATTATCTGATCCTTCTTGTCCTAACAACAAGGTAAAAACATTTAATGGGATCTCCGTTCTTGTGATCATATAGACGGATATTTCTGTCATCTCCAGTAGTCAAAGTTCTCGAGTCCCAAGCTCTTAAACAGGTATCGTCACATATTCATCTTGCTTCTCACCAACATGGACTTCGCAAACATCACACTACCATCTCCACTATTAGCGAGATCACATCTCAAATATCTCATGGGTTAAACCAAAGTCGCCATGAACGCACTGGTTGGGATTCATACTAGGTGCTTGTTGGCCTTGATATCGTAAAGTCATTTGACACAGTATCTATAGGACCTTGTTAAATGATTGTCTGAAACATCTATCCCTGACTCAACAAAAAGATGGATCTGTAACTATCTCATAGAGATAATAGAAAATAGAGTATATTTTTTCCCCGTCAACTACAATTCAATTGGCAACAGATTTGTTCCAGTGCAGTTGGAGTGGTACTGAAACAGCGATAAAGCGATGATTGGCGTCCAGTTGCATTTTTCTTATCGAAGCTTAATTCGGTACAAAAAATCATAGCACCATAGTATTTTGCTATCAAATTTTAAATATTACTAGAAGGGAGACATTTTACGATTCCAATGGATCACAGCCGCTTACTTGTACATTCGTGCCGTCAATTGCGACAGCTGAGTTTTATAGCAGAGTTTGCAACCACATACACATAAATGGCATTGACAACATAGTAGCAAATAGTTTATCTTAAGCTGATGCAATAAACACGCCCACAGTTGTAGATTTTAAGGCAATTAACAAGTACTAAAAAACTGACAAAGAGTTGAAGCAGCTATTGGGTTCAAATTCAGCGCTTCAGCTGCAGAAGCTTTCTTCACAGCCTGAATGCTAGTATTACATTCCATCATCACTGCGCAGGAAAGTATATGATACGGTATACTTAACAAATGCAGGTGTGAAGTCGACAGCTAAATAATTATCCAGTAAGTTCGTGTGGTTGTCAATACGAAAAGATATTGCGAAGAGTGATGCGATTATGCTAAAATTATTAACAAATAATAATAAATAGACATAACAGACCCATTTTACAAGCTTTTACGCCGTTTGATTGACGATTCGTTCATGTACATTTGGATTTAATAATAGATATGCACTATCTAAAACCACGATGGCCAGAGGTCGGCCCTTTGGAAGATATCACCGCTGACACGGTCATGGAGAATTTTTATGCAAATTGGATATCGTGATTTGGGTGTCCCAAACTCTCACCAACTAATCAGGGAGCTAAATTTGAATCGTTAGTAAAATGTTTAGGCTCACAGAAAATACGCACATCTTCGTATCACCCGGAATCGAATGGGTTAATTGAGCAAGTTCAGAGCACAATAGTACGCTGCGGTTACTTTGTTAAAATACAGACACCTCCAGATAAACAAAAATTTCTTAAAAAATATCGTGTGAGCATATACGACAAGTTAAACCAATTCCGACTTTCAATCATTTAAAAATAACTGTTTTTGCTCACAAAGCGTTAGGTAGTACGTTCCATATGTTTGTAAGGCAGACTATCCAAAAAAACAATTAAAGCCTGTATGGACGGAATTTTGTCACTATTTATATATATATATTCTTTATTTAATATTAATATTAATTTTTATTAATTACATCTTTCATTCATAAATTGAATGAACCAGTTTTTCAATGTAGTAGCGAACACCCACACGCACAGCTAGCACAAGAGAAGCCAGACTTCAAGAAGAGGTTGTTGCTCGCGGCAGAGCCATTACTTCTCATGGCAATGTAGGAATTTAGGCAAGAAATGCATCAAATTTTAAACATGCAAAGAATTACACTTGTGCGGACATGCGTGCAACGATGAAATAAGCGTGCTTTTACATATAAATAGACGCCGAATTCATATGAAAGATCACAGCGCCAGTACACCGAATGAAGTAGACACATACATCATCGCTAAGTCTCCAGGCAAATTTCACGCCAGTAGCATTCTGATACTATAAGCTAGGATCATTGTATTATTATAGTTTATAACGTCGCAAGACTTTTTGATGCCTAATCTATGGCATCATTGTATTATCATAGTTTGTAACGCCATTGGCATTTTGATGCCATAGACTAGGATCTTTGTATTATCATATAATATATCGTCGTCAGCATTTTGATGGTATTGGCTACAACCTATTGTAACCGCTTAGAATTATAACAACATATTAGACTAGAATACTTTTTTACCTAGTATTTTAAATTTTATAATAAAGATGTCCTTTTGAGCTAAAATAAACAACGTCTTTACTTTCTATTTGGTCTTTAGCTAGCTCTCGAACTAGTTAATAAAACAAATGTATTGCAACGACCCGGACTGCGGCTGAGTAGTACCTCAGCAAAATCAAACGAAGTATCAGTGTCGTTACAAGTCAACATACGCAAGACCACACAAAATAATTAAAACGTACGCGGAAAATCGGTTAACTCAGCAGTAGACATTAAAATCGGCCTGATTCGAGCCCGTGATGATGGAGTCAAATTTCGTCGTAGTTGACGTAAGAGGCAGATCGTTTAACAAGTAACAACTGGTCCGAACAGAAGAGAAACTGACTTTTGAGTCGAAAGATTAATTAGAGTAGCGGTGCACAATTACTAGTCAGCAAGCCTGGCGAATACGCCACACATACTCCAGCCCCATCTCGTATGAAGAACAATTTCTTTTTGTATATAACATAACAAACATCTGGTACGCGTACAGCAAATAAAAGTCGTTTTCAAATACTTCTTTTATTTATATTTATACAGAAATATCTATTTTGTTTAAATTTACAACAGGTATCATTTTAAGGAAATATGTTAAATGTTAAAATTATTTTCACAAGTATTTTTATTTAACTTTTTAAGCTATATTTTATTTTATAGAATTTGTTAAAGTTAATTTGTTTAAACTTCCTTTTGGAAGATTTTGTATTTACTTCGAGTTAATGTTTTATTCATACATAAAGACAAGTTTTGTATATCTACACATTATACAATAAATTAAGTGATAATATATTAGTATTTAGTATTTTAAAACAACCGCTAAATAACTTGCATTTGTTGTCAAAAACTCTTAATTATAGCATTTAATGCTGTTATGATGTACTGTCATTATGACTGACAGTACTGCCATTGTACTGCCATAGTTTTTTTTAGAATATTTTAAATGGAAGGTAATGAAATGGGCTTATGAATCAAATCATTTGCAATCTAACTATTAAAATAATTTAATTATTCGAATTTATATTAAATAAACCGTATGCAGAGACAAGTAAAATTGTGATATTAATTTTAATTAATTTTTTTATGCGTGCTGTGTATAAAAACTAAATTTGCAAGCAATTGACTTCTAAGGATGAATGAATACATAATAAAGCTCATAAAAACAAATAAAATTCGAATAAGTAGAACTCACCATTAAATGTTGGGTTTTTCACATTTGAATTAATTGATATAAATTCGAATACATGAGTGATTGGAATAATTCGTATATGAACATTACAATATTAATACAAATAGACATTAGCGAATCTTTAATATAATTTTTCTTATAATCAACTTTATTTGCCTCAAAGAATTTAAATAAATGTTATAAAATTACTATTTTTTCTGACCGACGCATGAATAGTCCAAATATTTTCGAAACTTTTGTAGTACCCCTTCAATTCATTAAGATTACTAATCGTCTCGTAAAAGAAAAAAAATTATTTTAAATGAGTACGAAGTGGAAAATAAAACTATTTTTCATTTCCAGTTTTAAATTATATCGAAATTAATTACAGTTTAAATTAAAATAATATTAATGAATGCATCATTTTAAAACATTTTTTAAACGTTTTTAAAACGTTTTTTTTAATATCTAAACTGATTTCTATACGGAAGATGTGGCGTTTTTACCACTATTGACATTTAAACTAGATGCGTGCATACTTAAAGATTCTAAAGATAGGTTACTTCGATGCGTAGGTTCTTCTATATCGCGCTTAGCTGATATAAGTATGTTACTACAGCTGTTGTTTGATGTATTCGTGCTCAACCCATTGCAAAAAATATTATCAGTATACACAATGGAATTGTTATCATTATCATCTTCTGATTCATTGATATATAGTGGAGGAATTAACTCCGCTGTATTGATTTGTAAGTTACTGTTTAATATATTGTTCTGCATGGATCTATTGTTTTCTGGAGAGCATAAATGCAGATGAGAATTTATTAATTTATTGCAAGCTGGACAAGCACGATTGGATCCCTTTTCACGTTTCCGAATTAATTCGTGTGCACACCTGCGTAAATTAGAAAAAAAATTATTTAACACCAATTTTACAAATAAGTTCATATTAAACAAAAATTAATAAATACTATAATATTTTATATAGCAATTAATAGAGAGTTTTCGAACAGTAGTGAATTGAAACAACAAAATTTTTTTTAATAATTCAAATGTTTGGCTAATTATACAGCTGTTTCGAGTATTGCCAAATACCCATCATCAGTGGACTTAGAATTATTTCTTGAATTTAATTATTCGCACATAATTTTTGGAGACTGCAAATACTAAGGCTTGAGCTCGTGCTCTGTAAACTTTGAAGCTTAGAATCAGTGTTCATTAGCCAACTGATCAAACGTCGTACTTCACTTCTATATTAACACTTTGGACTTCTGTGTAGAACGAAATCATTAACCAACTTTAAAATAATTGAATTAATTTGTTGTAGTTCATTTTAATTGATAAGTAGCAATTAATACAATCATATATATAATCATGCTTGTAATACCTGGCATGTAGTATATGCGCGCATGGTAGAGCTTCTAAGGAATCTGTTTCAAGACCAAATAATTCCCCGCAAACGCCGCAGATTAATCCAAGAGCAGCATCAGTCTGACTTGCCAACTTTATATGCGTGTTATATTGTTCATCATCACCCAATGCTTGATAAATTAAAGAAAGGCGACTGCGAACTTTGCGCATAAGTAACTGGAAAAATTATTTGATAGTGAATACGAATTTTAAATTTTTGATATAAAATAATTAGTGTAAATATTTGAATATGCTCAAAGACAATATACATATTTTGATTACTTATCGTTGTTTGATATTGTGACGAACGCATTACGCACGCGTAGCACCATCTCAAAATCCAAGGACCTGTCAACTTTACTTAGGGTAACCGACTGCACCCCATACGTTATACAGCGTTATATACAGTTTGAATCTTGCGTTATATATAAATAGAGAGTGCTATACTGGTAATATCGACATTTCCTTAAAAAATACCGCAAGCTGAAGATAGATTAATCGTTTCTTAATAAGTGAGCTCACTGAGTCCGACTAACGTAAATAGTCATTTAGCTCAATCACTAGAAACCGTCACAGATGCTTAGTAGAATGAAGATGGTGGCGAATGACAAGATGATTGACGAAGTTTTAAAATTTCTTTGGTAAGAATAATTGCAGAAAACCAACGATTTTATGACTCTTTAAGCAGACCAGATGTTTGTGGTACAAAACTACTCTACAATTACAACAGTGCAGGAATTATACTATTCGGTCCCTTCGAGTTGAGTGTCATGACATTAGATTTGTGTAACGGCAGTCAAATATTCCCACGCTACATAGGCAGCATATTTAGTCACTTAAACTTTGTCGCGTGTTACAATGATGACATTTGTTTCTCGTCAGCTTCACTAGGAAAGCATGAAAGCCATGTTCAACAGAATGCGTTAGTTCGATTTGAGAAAAAAATCCTCTGTGTAATTTGTGAAGCGCTTCAGGTAATCACAGCAAATCATTAGCGAAAACACGACGAAGAATTAAATACACTCAGATTTATGCATGATGCCCGAAAGGTACAATAATAATAAACAAGATGATTTAAAAATACAGGTATTTGAAGAAAAGAAAATTGTAAAATAGACCTTTCTGGTGGTTCACCATTTAGGTGGGTGCTAGGTCGGTCGTACTACTTATTATTTTTGCCATAGTTTTAGCATTGACAGACGGGAGCTAAATTATCATTAAGGGGCTAAATTATAATTTATTTGCTCATTTAGCAGTCATTTAAAGACCATAAATGATCATTTATCATTTAAGGTCTTTAAATGACCGAATTTAACCCAATTTATTCATCATTTAGGTTTTTAGAAATGGTAATGCTGCATATGCAAGCGAAACGAAATAAAAAATGGAACAAATTTCAAGCTATTTGGTTGTTAAAATGTAAACAAAACATATTTGGAAACATTGGTAAATGTAAATGTATAACTCGATATATTTCTATATATTTTATATTTTTTTTATATATTTTAGATTTAATTAAATCAAGTTTCTTTAATTTTTCTTGCTTATCCATTTTGAATTTAAAATTCTTTCTTTTGCTTTCTTAATAACAAAAAACATATGATACAGCAACTTCTTAATGATAATTTATACCGTCTGTCAGGGTATTTTTAAAATGATCATTTAAGGCTGCTTAATGATAATTTAGTGCGCTCGTTTATTCTTTATTATCAGAGGCGAGGCGTCGAATGGTTCAGAGTGTTCACTGAACACCTTAACAAAGCTTCCTTTTAAGAACTTTTTTTATTACGTAAATAATCTCGCTATTTTGCTACTTAACATTTTTTATAATAGCTTTTCCAAACAGATTAACATAACGTATAATACAAACAAGACCACACATACATATGTTAGTTACACCCAACATTACTTATAATTAATAAAAGAGAAAATACATTCCTCTTAAAATATACTAAGGTTCGGAATAAAAACTGCTCCGCGCTGCTTACAAAGCATGCAAATGAAATAACATTCACATTGGGACTATGTTTAGTATTGAATAAACACAAAACATACAAACAAATATAAAAATAAAAGAGAAAACAAGCCCCACAAAATATGTTCGTAAAATAATCATAACTCTTAAATTAATGCGTGCAAGCGGTTCAATAAAAAAGTGAACCTCCAATGTTATGCAAGGTACAAAAATACAAAAGAGAAAAGAAATGACTGAGCGAAAATCGCTTTACATTTGACTAGAGGTTCAGTCGACTAAACTGAGCCCCAAGTTCATACAAAATGAATAGACCAACTCCAGATATGATGAATTTGGTACCTGATGTTAAAATGTCGAAATCTGTGATAAGTCGCCGTTTTTCTACAGCTATTTACCATAAAAACCAGTGGATCATAGGCTGCGAACATTTAAATAAATTGTTTTGTTGGTCTTGTACGCTATTTGCTTGTGGAAAGGACAAAACTCAGGAGTAGGGGGAATACGTTATAGTTGGAATACTATTTTCATCAAATTGTGAACACCTTGCCAAAAAGCTGACGCCTCGCTACTGTTTATTATTCATTTTTTTTTTAAATTTCAAATGTTTTATTAAGTATCAAGGTTTTAACTTACGTTATGCGTTGCATGTAGAAATGGTATTTTGAGTATGCAGTTTTTAACATTTGATTTGTAAACAAAAAACATATGATTTCGTTAATTTGGGACAGTATGAACAGTTTTCAAACTAAATTAATTTCATTTCAACGAAATTAAGAAAATTTAGCTGTCTAGACATAGACTTAGTGCATAAATTTATATGATATTATAAATTTGTTTCTGTGACCTTTCTTTGCGGATTATAGTTAGTTCGAAAATGAGCAATCCATTTTTATTTAATAAGATAGAAAAGTTTTTTTGAATATACCTTTGCACCTATTGAATTTGCTACTTCGAGCAATCGCGTGTTAAATTCTAAAGGACGACAGTTGCATATCTTTTGTTGCAAACGTAAGACTTCTAAGCAGCGTGCAGCACCATCCATTGCTTCCATCTGCGCCATACGATCACCAACTGCTGACGAAGTTCCCATTGCAAGTTCATATTGCCTAAATGCTCGCTAAAACATTCGTATATAATATATACATATAAATATAAATATATTTACAATTAAATTGAAGTCAACTTACATCAATGTCCATTTTTTTCCGGTATATATCACCCATTATCCGTAAACTACGTGTATAGGTAGCTTGATCGCCAGATATTAATGAGAGTCTAGTTGCTTCCTGAAATAATAAATAGATTAGACTTTGTTTCTAGATTTTTAATATTATATAAATTATTAAGTACCATACAATAATCATGAGCATCTCCTAATTCACCTTGCTTTCTTAAAGCTGCAGCCATTCTTAATAAAGCTGCTCGATGATTCGATGAATTCAAATGTCCCAATTGTAAAGAACGTGACAAATCATATGCTTTTGATGCGTATACTGCACTTTTATGATTATCTTGTAAACGTCCAAATAATTCGGATAATGCAACAAAAACCTGCAGCTCTAAAGAAGGGTCAGTTATTGATAGAGCAATTTTATGAGCATTTTGTAGTCCTTCTAGTGCTCGCGAAAAGCCACCCATTTCTAAATAAACTCGAGCGACTGTTAGATGAACTAACCCACCAGTTCGACATTGTTTGTTACACTCATTATAAAGCGAGTGACGTGCATAACTAAGTGCTCTCTCTAAACCACCAAGACGTTCATGCGCACGTGCTAAGTTTAAATATGTTTCAGCGCGCATATTCTGTGAATCAAGTTCCTCTGAAATTCCTAAAGCTCTATGTCCAAACTCGATTGCTTCTCTGTATTTTCCCCAATCCATATGAGCTTGATAAAGATAATTTAATAACTGAAAGCAGTCTTCACGACGACTTGTCGCCTTAAGAGCACTTCGCCATATACGAACAGCCGCATTCTGATTATGTTGTTCATAAAGACGCAAACCACGTTCCATCTAAATATGAATGAATTTAGCATTTACACAATTCACATATTAATGATGACATTCAAATAAAACAAAGTGTACAACAGTTTTAAAAAGTAAAAAAAAACATAAAATACTATTCGCACAAATGATCTATATCTATACACTATATAAAGTGTGTGAACGTTCAAACTTATTATAAAACATGAAATTCAATATGCAAATGGGTAAAATTAAAATTACTTTTCTTTTTGCCAAATACTGTTTTAAGCTCCGTTGAAACATTAAAAAGCAATTAACTACGGAGTTCCGGGGTGCAGAAAATCCTTGATGAGCCCATAATGAATTTTCTTCCGGACTTGATCCATAACCAACATTCCATGAATAGTTTTCATCAAAGTTGCAAAATTCTTTATAGTATATACAATAGATCAATATTTCAATGTAAAGAACTTTATATTATTTAAACTAAATTTTTACCATTTGATGCTTCTAACAAATTACGTGAACCATCTGGGGAAGCCAATAAATGAGTTGCTGATAAATTTTGACAATGTGGAAAACTATATTTTATTTTTTATTTATTTCATATTTACTATTAAAAACCAATATGGGTCTTACCTAAGCAGATCCTTTGATACTACGCTTTCCCATGACATGGCTCACATCAATCCCTGAAATGATTAAAATAACATAAGGTACTAAGTTTTTGGTGCATTACGATGGAGTGCAGTTTTTTATTTTTATATTGTGTTTAGTGTTAAGGTATATATATATATAGTTATATTCTGACAACATTTAGCCACTTCACCTTAGTTATTATTATGATATTTGAATTAGTTATGATATTTTGGTGTTCTTACATCATTTGAGAAAGTTCCTTCAGTCTTAATTGTCACATAAAGATGATCAAAACCCATAAATGTCTTTAACATCTTTAACATTAGAGTTGTTTGAGGAAAATCACTTCACCCATTTAATGAGGGTTCAAATGTTAAAAATCTATAGGATCAATATTTTTGTTTTTTAGAACGTATTGGAAAATAGACCACTGAAATTTTAAAATAATCTGTTTTGTTTTGTCTTCAGCAGTTCAAAGCTTCTAATCAAAGCTTTAATCAAAGACAAGTGGTTGCGAAATATGTTCATCAATATTTAAATAAGTGGTTGTATTTCTAATTAATTGGATTCAGGATACGAATTGGCTCCTAAGCAACTAAATTTATAACTTCTTCTTCTTCTGAGAATTATAGTGACGGTTTTTTATTATTATCGCGATCTTCTAGCAAACTGGTTAAATATGCAGAAAACAGAAGAGAATTGAATCCAATCTGCTTAATTCCATCTTTCATTTACCAATACTAAGATGTAGATAACAAAATGATGAAGTCCTTTCAAAAAAAAGGCATTTCTTTCAAACGTTTCACACTTGGATTGTGTAAATGAATTCCATTTAACTAATTTATGTATTTTGAGTTGATAATCCTTACCGATAATCCTTAAAACTGACAGGGATAATTCCGCTTTTACTGCGGGTAATGTAAAGACGATAACTCTCAAAAGAAGTTTATAGAAAAATTTCAGCGTTTTGCGTAAGTTTTGATACTATTACTTATTAGTGTTTTCAGATATTTATTTGAATCATATTTTTTTTAGTTGCGGACCCCAATAAATGCAATTAAAAGTTTTATTCTGAAGGTAGAATATAAATATGGGTATTTGAGATTGAGTAACTTCTCAAACTACAAACATTTTCCAGATTTGAGGTCCAAAATTACTTAGATGCTAGTTATAATTAATAACATAAACTTAAAGATTTTTAAAAATTGAATGGATGTAGGAATGGATGTGTTTATATCATACTTGCGGTTAAAAACTAAAGGCTGATAAAGTGGCGTTGGCATCCATGAACCCAAATTTATCATAGGGGCTCCAATTGAAAATCTAACAACAGTTCTTTAAATAAAAGTGCATGCTACTAAAATTTATGCTATACAAGGCTGAAAAGGTGTTAAAAACGTACCAGCGTTATTGTATATATGAATAGCCAGATAGCTATACAATCTGTTCTGTACTAGATCATGAAATCAAAGTTAAGCAAGCAAGGGTGCATTCACTCGTTTCATAGAATTTTTTTGTGAGATATCCACTTGTGAGTTTGCATCAGTGCTTAAATATATCGAATACAAACTCTATGAGAAGGCCTGCTACGATATCTATAACTTAAGGCAATCCTTAAAGCTTTTTCGGGTTCACCACAAAAAACTGACAGTTCCAATTGAAAATAACAAATGTAATCATATTTGTGCATTTTGAAATTTATATAGAAATATAAAATATTTGTATCGAATGGTTTTTGATAGCATTATTCGCCATTTTTTGCATATAGGGTAACAACTTTCTTCAAGACTTTATAGACACATTTTCATACATATGTGGAAATGATACATTAATACATACATATTAATTGTTTTTATCTAATGTTTAACTGCAAGTATCTGAAATTGAATCCTATCAACTTTGAACCGTGGATACCTCTATTAATATACAAACCAAACGTATACTTAATTTCTATTGTTCAAATTTCGAGCTATATACATTGTTGGTATTTATTCATAATCAGCCACAAGCACTTACTGTGCTATTCGCTTGAGCTAAGGCAAATAACTATATAAGAATTGAGATAATACAATGTCATAACCTGGAAGACATAGAAACTGCCAAGACTTCTCATGCAAAAAAAATCTAAGTAAATTTTGCGGCTATGAGGATATGGAAACGCATTCACACTGACGAACTTGCTAATAGGGCTATTACTATGTCTCTAATTGGTACCTCTAAGATGTAGTATACCGACTTTTACTTAGATGGTGTATTTAAAAATTATGTCCGTACACTTTCGCAATAAAATATTGTTTGATTTAAAATTTGGCAAAATTATTACGAAATTCAAAAATTTACCAGAATTTACCACTGTCTCGCATGAATAGCACTACATATGGTACAAATTACAAATGTAGGCTGACTACTTTTGGTGTTATGATTCTGATATTTGACTACTGAGACTACTGAGGTCTAATCACAATGTTTGGTGTGATGCAATAAATCGCACCTCTTAACTTTATCAAATATTAAATTCGATTTACAAACAACACTAAATAATAACAATAATCGATACAAGAAATTACATAGAAACACCAAAAAAATTAATAAAAAAATTTTGATAAAATTACCAAAAGATGCAACACGTGAAATATAAGCAAATACCATAAGCATCCTTAATATGCCCAAATTAAAAACGTATACCATTATATCTCCACCATATTCTGCACATAAATATATATAAATCTGAAAACCCATTCTTTCTTACTGGAATAAAAGATTCGGGATAACACACAAAAATAAAAGATTTTCGTAAGGAGTTTCATAATAAATCAAATCTATTCTGAAATCAAGGTCAAAGATATATATCATCGAAGACATCTCAAAGAACAATTTATAAATAAAGTAGCAAATATGTATATTCTATTTAATACTTTAACGAAGTGACATTTAAAACCTTACCTAGACCTGGTATTGCAAGAACTTATTATATTTTAACAAAAATAGTCATTTGATCAATCGATCCACTAGCTCATTTAAGCATATATTGAATATACGAACGTTATTGTGGTTTAGTAATTTTAATCACCGTTTATCATCTGTGACGATGTTAAGTTTTTTTCTTTCAGAAGTAGTTCCTTATTATATATAAGTTTCAAGGTCGCATAATTTGGCAAGTTGTTCTCTTCGTGGCAAAAACATTTAAGTTATTTTATTTTCCTAAAAATTAGTATCGTTTATAATTTTTCGATGACTTGTAAGGTAGACTGTTGCTATCTGTTCTATAAACATTATGTTCATCTTCGTATTTACCCTTGATAAATTTTCTAGGAATGTTATAACCTGGTTTTTCACAAAATATGCTTTTTCTTATATACGGTAGCTTTGAAGACAAGATTCTCATTGTAAATTCGGAATGGAAATGACTCATATCAAAAATTCTACAATTTCCGAATGATTGAAATTCTATTTGATTATAAATTTTTTTGAATCATTTACCATTATCCATAATTAAGGAAAACAAATTAATTTAATTTGGTGAAGTGTACCAGCCCAACATTAATATATTGAAATAAGTAATAATTTTTTATTAGTATTATTTTACTAGTATGAAATTATTTCAAATTCAAATATGTAGAAACAATCTTAAATGAGCATCTAGCCCCACAATGCAATATAACCGTATAAAAAGTTTCTCTGCAATTTATATCGATTTTAGAAAAATATTTATTGAAACCTTAAATATTGGACACCATTCGGAATAAACTATAATAGCATGCACAATTGGACCGAAAACCTTCCATTATATTCATAAATCGGAATGAATTTTAAGAATCGAATGCATTAAGTAAATATCTACCAAATACTTATATTATATATGCTTGAAATAAAGTCCTTCAATAAATCAAGTATCCTAAACAAAGTAATTCTGTGAAATTCCCTTAGAAAATAAAAACAATTTTCAATTTATAAGAATTACCGAATGAAATTTTATCAATTTTTTATGAAACAAACTTTTTTGTTAATATCATCACAGTTTTCAAATCACATCACCAGCGCACATTTTCTTCAACGTAACGAACCTTCACAGTAACCTTTATTATTAAAATCTGTTGGCTATAATAGTGTACAACAAGCACACAGGCACACAAGCACACAAGCACACAAGCAACGAAACCACTTGAATGTTGCTGTGCTGTTTTTTTAAACTTATTACCATCCCAACACAAGTTGTTCTTAAAGCTAAAACAAACAAAAAGCAGCTGACGTAAGTATGGATGTGTAAGTAGGCAAAGGATGCTGAGAGCCTGAGCGGACCAGGCAAATTGCAGACTTTTCGTAAGAGAGCATCAGACAGCAACTTGTGAAAATGTAGCACAATAATAAAAGCTTTGTGAACCTATCCTCCGCGCAGAACACAGCCACAAATTTCACTCAACCACAAAACTTTACCACAAAGGACAAACTGATTTAACTTTCGTGGTTGAAGCTGTGAAGCTGTGTTCCTTTTGTTTCGTTTGACAAATATTAATTTATTGTGAATTTTATTTTCTAAGGTTAAGTCACGAATAAAGTAAATGTTTTAGATATAATTTTTTCCACATCTTAATAAAATACAAGTTTTGTGTGAAAAATATAACCAAATAACTAATAATAAAATCAATTTTTAACTAAAGTAGACGAAATACATAAAGTATAGTAAAATCGCAAATATAACTACCGATATGTGATATATAATTGTTACAAATCTTTCAATAGAAAATATTATTTATTTTATATAAAAAGCACGAAAAAAAAACAAACTTTATCAAACTGAAAAAGAAACTAACAAACAATAAAAAGCCTGTAAATATTGTCCATTTATTAAACTAAGTATACTATAATATTATTAGCTTAGGAAGGAATAAGATTGATAAAACTAATAAGAAATTCATGTTAAAAATATTTTCATATTATTATTATTGAAACAAAACTTTAATAAAAGCAGTTTTTATATATACAGTAAAATTCGCCTGACTCGAATCGTCAAGAGGTGGTAAAAAAGTTCGAGTTAGGAAAAATTTGAGTTATAGAGAAAACACTTTTTATTTCTTTTTCTACCAAATATTTTTTATTTAATATATTCAGTAATATTTTTTTTTACTTTTTACCATTCTACTTTAAATTTCCAAAGCATTTAATGATTTCAATATACGAGGGCGTATGGTTTTCTATATACCAATATATGTACCAATACGTATGGTTTTCTGTTGACCTTTTGTTCACTTTCTATATAATTTTCCAAATTATTTAATTAGAATATATCATTCGGTGCGTTCGCTCTAGAAAGGATAAATGTTCAAATTATCTTGATCGCATCTTTTTTTGTGGCAATTGTTTTTGCAAACTGCTTTACCTTTTACCCGACAGATATAGATTTTTTGCTCTTACAGTAATTATTCACTCTTAACATAGCTTCGTCCATGTCATCATATTTACATATTGTAACCCGTTTATTTCTTTTATTAGATTATCTTCTTATCTTAATAAGAAGATTAAGATTATCTTATTATCTTAATAAGAAGATTAAGATTATCTTATTATCTTCTTTTAAGTTGTCTTTATTTTTTAAAATCATAACTGATGTGCTACAAGCAATTCCATATTTTTCTGCTACATCTTTTTTTTTATCACCTTTATTTACTTCAATAATTAAATCAATTTTTTACATGTTTGTCAAAATGTTTGAAATTTCTTCTAACCATGTTTGTGATTGAAAGGCTACTACTTCATTGACAATAAACACAACTCATCGTATTGAGGAAATTTACAGTAATAATAGCTTTTGTTGACCTTCTAAATGTGGCCGAAAGCTAAAATCTAATAATGTCGCGCAAGTTAGAAAATTAATTAGAAAAGTATTTGAAAATATTAAGGCAAGGCAAAACCAAAAATTCGAGTTGTGGAGATAAATTTAAATGGAAGTGGTGAAAGGCTATGTAAATTTATACGGGAATTTTACTGTATTTGAATATAGGTATATTTATTAGTAACACATTATATCAAAAGTATGTTACTTTTATTTTAAATATATAATTAGTAAAATATTAAATTTAATATGAATCTCTGTTTTTCTATATCTATTTTATCTTTATTTTGATATCTCATTTTAAAAACTGATATTTCATTTTTAAATTTCAATGAATGTACTTTAACTTTGTTTTTGCTATTGTTTTATTTTAATAGTTACGCAGATTATTACCTTTTATCCAAATAAATTGCAATTTTTCTCGTTTTTTAGGTGTGAGATTATAATGAGTCTATTTTCTGCACCACTGCATATCCATCAACATCTGTGACTAACACTAAAACTAGCTCATCGTGTCCCTTGTCGCTAAGAGTACGAAGCCTTTTTGTTATATATGTAGTTATAAGGAAAAGAAAAGATTTACTGCAATACTGTCTTGACAGTTATTTGATTTTTTCCATTCCATTTGTTTGTTAACATATTTATCAAGCAAACAATGTTTTTTATCATACAAGAAAATTCGAGGAGCATTGTTGCATATCACATATTGTGATAAAGACGAGAGCTTCTGGCTCACCAGTTGCCGTATGCGGAAGCAGTCACACTTCGCCTACGAGTGTTATCACAGGAAAGCTGGTAGACAATCGTGCCAGTAAGCTACCGAATAGATACCAGAAGGCTATGTTCATTCTTGACAAGATTGCTAAATAGATGAGTACAAAGAGTACCAAGCCGATCTTCCAAGACCCTAAAAGGCAATAAACAAAGATAGGTCTCAGGACGAGATTGCCCATATTTGAAGTAGAAACAAAACTTACAACAAATAATAACAACAAATAACCGTTAACAAGCACTACAGTAACGATACAGCAAGAGATGAGCTACAGGTAGCAGTTATTGACGTGATTACCGGAAATGGCAAAAAAGTGCTTCAATAATAGACAAGGATAAAGTGTAAGGAAAAGGATTTAAACCCTGCGAGACGGGAACTCACGGTTGCGGATCATGGTCAGTGCGTAGGTATTCTTCCCTCCCCGTCGCACAAAACCAAAATAAATGGAAGAAATAAACTGTAATCTTAGGTTTGGCGTGCGATATACGAAAATAAAAATCTTATATAGCTGAGTGTTAGGATTACTTTAAAAGTAACAAAAAAGCAATCAGGGAGGCCAAAAGTAATGACTAGAAGAAATTTTGTAAGTGAATTAAATCAACCTCACCACTGCTAAACTCAGCAATGTTCTATTCAAGACAAGTGCACCCTTCTTTTCTTTAGAAAGCGTATAGCACATGGGTCGAAAACTCTGCTGAGAAACTAACAATACTGTTAGATATTTAATTCCATAACTGTGAAAACTGCGCTAGACAGTAACTTAATTGTTTTGGTAGGTATATCATCACAAGTAGGTGAAGTATTAGACACAGCAAAAAAATCAGCCATTCCATTGACAGTTTCTCTTTGTAAAAAATCGTCAAGTTTGGAGGGTATTTTCACTATCATGTTGCAAAACATTGTAGTTCCATGGTTAGGAGAAATTTGCAAAGCATGGCTTAAGTTTAGTTACATATGACTTAGTTGGAGGATGGTAAATATCGTTTTTATACCTTAAGTAGGAAAAATCAGCCACTTAAAACCAATAGTGGAACGTTTTCAAATTTCAAAATCACAGCACGCTTACCTCAAGGAGTGATCTACCAAAAAACAGCTTTACATGAGGAAGCCATATACGTGAGAATTTTGCTGGATAGTTAGCTAATCGGAAGCACAATCACCTAAATAAATATACCACCAAAAGCGGCAATGTTAATTTCTTAGTTTACATTAAGACTGAAAAGTTTTCGGAAATTCTCATTTAAAATTCGCGCGCTGTATATTTTTCGATATTTTAAGTTTATGTAGTTTGGCAGCACTGTCCTTAATTTCTATGCCAAAAATGAGCGCGATCTGTCAGACAGTTCGTTTACGGCAGCTGTTGAAACCAGTTCACCTCAGTAGTGCGTTGCGAAATGTCTTCGACGGTCTTACGACCGTCCTGAAAGGCTTTGTACCACTCATAAACTTGAGTTTTCGATAAAACTGATTCCCCATAAGCCTTTTGTAGCATTCGCAACGATTCTGCACACGAAATTCGTTCGAAACACAAAATTTGATGCAAACTCTTTGTTCAATATTTTTTTCCATTGTTTTTTTCGCAACGCACTACTGAGGTGAACTGGTTTCAACAGCTGCCGAAAACGAACTGTCTGACAGATCGCGCTCATTTTTGGCATAGTAATTAAGGACAGTGCTGCCAAACTACATAAACTTAAAATATCGAAAAATATACAGCGCGCGAATTTTAAATGAGAATTTCCGAAAACTTTTCGGTCTTAATGTATAACTATGACTATCGTGGTGGGAGAGGAAAAGGTACCATTAACAAAAGAAAACCACTAAGCAATACTAGTTTCAGTCAGTATTGTCTGATACTCTGAGACAGCATAGTAAGTAAAGAAATTTGTAAATTTTTTTTCTTACATAAAACAACAAATTTATAATTACAAATCACATTATATACATCAAACAGACAGTACTCCCACGCAATATTATTGTCGAATTATGTACTTGAAAAGACGGACATTAAAAATTGTACCAAAATTTTGTGTTCATTTATTTAAAATACTTTCCTGAAATTGTTTTTATACACAACTGCAAACTGCAAAACAGTTTTTTTTTATTTAATTTGTAAACAAAATTTTTGAAATAAGTTTATTAAATAAAATTATTAAATAAATTAATTAAACTAAAATTGAAAATTTATATGCCCATTTTTTGTACATTTTGTAAAATACATTTATTTTTTTACTAATATTTAAATACCAAAATGTAAACTAAGAATCAAAGTAAGAAAACTACAAGAGTCAGAAGAGTATTGAATTGCATCATACTGCGCATATCAATGGAGATCTAACTGAGTAAAAGTCTGTAACAGCGACAAATACACAACTCAGCTGGTAAAAACTTTGGTTGTACTACATTACAGGTCGGTTAAAATCGTATATTTTGAAAGTAAGTGAATTTGTGTCTTGCCACTCTAAGACATCATAAGTGCATAGAGGATATTGAGCCAGGCGATGTTAATCTTTGAAGCGAAAGTAGGGGGTTGGACCGATAAATGGGTTTTCCTCCCCTTTTTTGGCATAATGGTCCACC